ACATTAAAAATCTCTGCCTGAAGAGTGAAAATTTATTTATTAATTGTTTATGCTTTGAGCTTCTTGATTGCCATTATATGCGTACTAAAATTTAAACATTCTATTTAAATAGATGGACATTTCGGACATGAAACTAGACAAAAATTTTGAATTACAAAAAGCTTTCGATTGTTTGGTGAAAAATCATGCAGTATGGAAAAACAAAAAGAAAAAACGGATAGAAAATCACATAAAATATGGTATCTTATTAGATGAAAAGAAGGATGTAAAGGATTTTGCAAACAAAATATCAAGTGCATTGTATGATAATTTTTATATCTTTATGATCAAAGCTTTCTTTTTTTTACTCAATTAATTTTATTTTACAGAGAAAATGTATGGAAAACTCAGCACTATGCCATGTTGAAAAATGCTCTTGATAATGTTAATGAAGATACATATGTTGCGGAAGTGTTGACACCTATATTAACAGCAACTTTTTCTGAATTACCTGTTTCTGCAAATTATCAGACAAACTGGTGAGATTTTATTAAAATTAACAATTAATGATTACAATAATAAATTTATTTTATTTAGGGGTGAAACAGAAAGTCTTTCGAGTAAGGCGCGTAAACAGGGTCATGTGAATAAACCAGACTTTAAGTTGCGTGTAAAACTTGGTGATAAAAAACTCGAACTAGTAAATATGGAAACCAGTCGACCAGAATTTGATTTAAGAAAGCAAAAGTCTAATCATAACAGATTAGCACGTGGTGCCAAAGATACTTTTGAATACTTTAGTATTTCGAAAAATCAAAAAAAATTTGAATTCGAAGAGCTGGCGAAAATATTTTACCTTAATATTAAAGGTAAATATAGAATACTATTTGAGATTTTTAGAAATTGTTTTTTCACAAAATTCTTTTATATAGGGAAATACCTTTCTATTCATGTTTTTTCTCAAACGAAAGAGAAATATTATTGTTTCGTAAAAATAGATCAGGCAGAGATTCCCCTGTTTCAAAGTAAACCTGAAAAGGTGTATAAACTAATGCAACTATTATTAGAATTACGGGTAAGATTTGCATTTTCCGAATAGCAATTATTGCAACATTAATTTTATAGGAAATTTTATTATTATCAAGAATGCTGTTACAGCAACATTAAGATTTCTTTATCATCGGTACATATCAAGATGTTATATGAAACCAATCAAAAGCAACACTAAGCAAATTTCAAATATAAATTTTAAAACTATAGAAACACCAAAAGGCACCAAGAAACGTTAGTTATTATTATAGTAATTAAACTTCAACTTTGGTGTACATTGGAAACAAATCTTTATTAGCTTTTCTTTTTATTATTACACAATTTTTTTGGAAGCTTGTAATAAAAATAATACGATAATAAATCAACTTTTATAACATTTAGATGATTATTTTTAAACTTTAATTGTTAACTTGACTTCGAATCAAAAGTCTTGCGACTAGGTATAGGATTTTATTTATTGGCTTTCGACAATCACGTAAAAACGGTGACATTGTGTAGAGGCATTTAATGCCAAATGGGGCGCAACACCATGAATCTTCTAGTAGACACTAAAAAATTTGGTTGGCTTAAGCTATCAATCTAGGGGCATGAATGCCAAGCAGGGTGCAACTCCTATATAAGAATAACATGAACTAGTCACTTATATTACACATTAATGTTTATATTAATAATCCCTTCCAAGATTCCTTACTCTGCATTAGCATACTGTATTTTATTTCTGACCATGAATATTATAAGGAGAAGTGAAAGGAGAAACTGAAAGTGGTACCTATTGTGGCAAATAAAACTCTATAGAGGTAGTCTTTTTAATAGGAAGAGATATCAAATATCCTAAGAAAGTGATTACCAAACTATCTTACTTGAAATCAAATATCTTATCACCTTTTTTATCTTCTTTCTTCTAATGATCATTGTAATACTAACTGGACAATTGTCATATTACATTATCTTTTTCTGGAGATTACAATCTTAATACCTGTCAGATCAATGTATAAATTGATTTCTTATAAGAAATAGCATATAATAAATTATAATATTAGATATCATATTGATTCTATTTAATTATCTTCACATGGAATTAAACTGATATCTTGTGATTTGATCTGTAAAGTATTAATCATTGTGCTATAGATCCACAGATATAAAAAATATATATTTATTTGATATATAATATAATTATATTTTAATATATTTTAGATTTAAAAATTTAACAAATTTATTTATATATTTTAATATTTAATTTATTAAATATAAATAATAAAATTTGATAATTATTTGTAATTATAATTAATAAAAAGTTTATTAAAATATAATAATAAAATAATATAATTTGAATATAACAAAAAAATCACTTATAAAAACTAAATTATTTATTATCTTCTATTTCTTTTTCTTCTTTTTTTTTATTTTTTTTTTACTTAATTGATTTTATTCTAAGAAACTTCCAAAAGTTATTACTTTATATCCTTTTTTTCTAGAGGAATTGTTTTTTTCTTGATGATTTTTATATCTTTTATTGATTTTATTTTAAAAAGAACTTTGTTTTTTAAAAGAAAGGAATATATGATAAAATAAATAACTTAGTTTTATTTTATTTATTTTTTATTGAATTATTAGTTTATTTTTTGCAATAGGATTTATTTATTTTATTATAGTATATATATCTATTTATAGCATGTGTAACATAGATCAGATAGTCTAGAAGATTCAAACAGTTCAAAAGGTCCAAAAGATCTACAAGATTTATAATCTATGAAATTATAACATTATAGCATGTAGATTAGGTAACCTAGATAGTCCAGACAACTCAGATAGTCTAGGTAGCTTAAGACAAAAAACACTATATAAGTAATTGCTATCCATGTAATTTTCAATTAGTTTTTTTGAATAATTCACTCTTGTGATTATCTGAATCTTTAATTTGATATCTTAATAAAATACTATTATTTTATGATGAACTATTCTATATAATCTCTAATTCCTTCTAAAAACTATTACTTGAATATGGATCAAACTAATTTTGATTACAATATATATTTTAGTAAATTTTCTAAAAACTGTAGTTCTTGGTTGATACAAATTATCAAATCTAGGATATAATTATTGAGTGAAATATAACTATATTATTTTCAAGTAAATACTTTAAAGAAATTTGGTTGGCTTATATTGTCAAATATAAAGATATAAATATCAAATAAGATGCAATTTCTATATATTACAAATAATATTGAACTAATTATTTATATATATAATAATATTTATATCAACAATCTTTTTCAAGATTTTTTATTTTATACTAATATATTGTATAACAAAAATTATCATATTAGGGGGAAATATTGATATTTATTAAAGTTAAATTAGAAACCTTTTCTAATATAATTTTTTTTATTTTGATTTATTATTAGCTCATAATTATTAGAAAAATTAAAGGTTCTATTTTTATACAGCTTAACTAAATTAAGTTTGAATCTGAATATTTGATTATAAAATTTATAGAAAACTAATAAAATTCACAAATAAAATTAAATTTATATATTTTTATTTTTTGTAAGTATTAAATTAAGAACATATATTTGAATATTAGTAAGTACTATCTACTATATTATTGATCCACTAGTTTAAATATACTGTATATTAATCTACTGTATATAATTATAAAATTTCTATAATAAATAATCTATTATTATTATTTTTTTTTTAATTAAATTATTAATAATATATTTATTAATTCATTTATTTATTTATTTTTTTTTTTCACCTAATCAGGCTGTAATTTGTTGTGTTTATTTAATCTTGTAAAAGAAGACGTAATTGTTTACAGGCACCTATTTACAGACATTTACGCATAAACTAATCACTGTTACAGCATACCCATCAGCAACCAATTGGTCTCTAGATGTGATTAAGGGAGATGAAAAAGTTGCTCAATTAAAGAAAA